TTTTTTTTTTTTTTTTTAATGGTGCTTAAAGTAAAGAGCCCATCCTTCGCAAGTCATCCATGTTGTTCCTTAGGCATTATATCTTTGCTCAAATTGTTGAAGAATGGTGGCTTGTTTCATGGTTTTTGTATTTGTGTCTTATGCACGTTTTAACATGATAGACGCAATGCATTGTGTAGCTACAGTTTTCTGGAAAAGTCAAATCTTTTAGGAATTGTTTTTCAAATCTTCAATAAAATTTTTCTTTAAATTTCAAAAAGCAATGTACTTGTCTGGATTTGTTTCAAAAATCTTTTGGGGGGGCGAAAAAAAGGACATTGCCTTCCTGGAGAGCAAAACCTTAAGAAATGAACATTTTGTATACTGTATATCTTTCTTATGATAGGTAGTGATTTTTTTTTTTCCAGGTGGGTATTTTATTTTCTGGTTTGATTTTTATTGAGTAAGAAGCTTAGCTTTGGCATCCCAAGCTAATGCATAGCAGCAGCATTCGTATTTATGGTCTTCAGAAAAGCTAGACATTTACATGACAGTGTCTCATTTTTCACAGATTGTTACCAGTTTTGAGCATTAAAGACAGTTTTATCTATGTGACAGCTTGCTGATTGTTTAAATTTAGGGTGTTTAATTTAGAAGTAAAAAGAGCAATATATAATATTAAAAATGGCAGATATTTTTCCCCTTTGATATTAGATCTGAAGTGGTTTTGGATATAGGTTTGAGAGGATACTTGTTACAAAGTATTGGAATAAGTTCAGAAGGCAAGAACTGTAGTAGCATATGAGGAGTGGGGTTTGAGAAGGGAGGATAATAGAGAAAAACAATAAAAGGGCAGTGGAATTTGCTTTTGTTATTCCTAGTCATAGTTATTTTCCAGCCTTCTTAACTTTTCCCTTTTATCACAACTTTACTGATTAACAATTAGGGAATGTTTTTCTTTGGGAGCAAAGAATGTTACTAATGTTAATCTTTATTCAACCATGATGGTCTTCATATATCTCTTATTTTTAATTTGTGTTAATGTGTGCCTTAATTTAACAGACCAATTTCCTGTAAGAGCAACCCCTCAAACCTTTTTGGTTTCAGGATCTTTTTTTTTTTTTCAATATGTTAAAAATGTTGCTGTTCATGGTGGCACTCACCTGTAATTACAGAGACTCAGGATGTCACGGGAAGAGAATTGCAAGTTTGAGGCCACCCTTGGGCAACTTAGGAAGGACTGGGGGAATATAGCTCAGTGTTAAGTGTTCCTCTGTTCAGTCCCTATTACCAAAAAGTAAAAAAAAAATATTTCTGAGGTTTCTAAAGAGTTCTTGGTTCATATGGATTATATATATATATATATATATATATATATAAATTTACCACTTCAGAAATTAAAACATTTAAAACATAAGATTAGGGCCTGGGGATATAGCTCCGTTGGTAGAGGGCATACCTCACATGCATAAGCCCCTGGGTTCACCAGCACCACCAAAAAAAAAAATAAGAATACAGGTGCTAGGGTTGTAGCTCAGCAGTGTACAGCCCTTGGCTAGCAATTGTAAGGCACCGAGTTTGATCATCAGCACCACATAAAAATAAATAAAACAAATGTACTATGTCCATCTACAACTAAGAAAGAAATTAATTATAAAAGATTATGGACTTTCTTTAGCCATCTGAGTGGTAGTATCTGACCTGGAAAACTGTACATACATTATGGGAGAATCCAAATGATTTGAAATGATTTTTTGCCTTACAGATTGAAAATATCCCAGGGACCACAGGATCCCTGGACTACTCTTTTGAGAATCACTATATTATAATCTTTATAGAAGTTTTAAAATTTTTTATTCATGAAGCCCCAAGATCAGAATTTTCTTAATTCATTAAGTATCTCTACCCCAGTTTAAATATAGCTTTAGAATGGAGCACTAACATATTTGCCTGATAAAAAAGAAAATAATTGTAATTGTTGTTTTTATTGTGTTTTATTAGTAATTCTTAATTTGGCTTCAGAATATCTTGTATGGAAGTTGGTCCTGATAGCACATACCTGTACTCCAGTGACTTGGGAGACTGAGGCAGGAGGATTGCAAGTTCAAAGCCAGCCTCAGTAACTCAGTGAAGCCCTAAGCAATTTAGCCCCCCCCCCCCCCCCCCAAAAAAAAAAAAAGTCTGGGAATGAGGGTAAGTGCCTCTATGTTGAATGAATCTCTGTCCCCCACCCCATCACCACACATGCACCAAAAAAATTCACAAAACTTGAGTGGTGGTAGTAGACTAGCTGGAATTATGTAGACGGGAATAATCCTGTGGTTGAGCATGGTGGCATATTCTTGTAATCCCGGTGGTTTGGGATTCAAAGCCAGTGAGATGCTAAGCAACTCTGAGACCTGGCTCTAAGTAAAATAGAAAATAGGGCTGAAGATGTGGCTCAGTAGTTGAGTGCCCCTGAGTTCAAATCACAGTACCTTTCTACCCTAACAACAAAAAATCTGTGGACTAATGATTATAGTAAATGAAACATTTACCAAAAAATGTGGGGTTTTTTGTAAAAAAATTAAATATTAATACTAGTACCTTAGATATTACTAGATAATTTTAGAAAAATGTTTGTACTTGCTACTGTTTGCAATTTGGGCCTCAGCCACATGTAAGACTCTTGGATTGCTATCTTCACGCTGTAGTCTAGAATTTTTAGTCTTAAATGTTTTCATTTCAACCAAGTAGAAGGAAGGGTTTGTAGATAGTAGCTTTTATAATTTTTGTATTGTATATTTTAAACAGGAATTAAGGTTACAAAAGTTAAGTAACTTGCCTGTGGACATACAGCTAAGAGGTAGAGCTGAGTTTAAATGCCAACCCTTCCCAGACACACACACACACACACACACACACACTGATTTACTGATGACTTACTGAACATTATCAGTTATCAGATGTGCTCTTTCCTATTAGCAGAGATTGGGCCAGATGAAAACTTCACATATCAGCCAAAAGCCTTTATTCCAAAATGGACTCATGGTTCTGATGGTGGAACTCTCCTGGTGGAAAATGAGCCATTGAATAAAGAGGGACTAGGCTTATGTAGGTTAATGAACCTATCACTTTGGGCACTCAGGAATTTGGGGTCTGGTTTATTGATAATGCGTGTGTTTGAGTGCTCAGGAATTTGAATTTTGGGTTGAGGGTCTGTTCCGCATCTAGAGAAGATTTGCTTTGGGAGAGATTGACAGGTTTGATGAAGTTCCTTCTTCCCACCTTGGGCCAGCATCTGGAAAAGATTTATATGGCTTTCACTCCCTTTTCCCAGGCCACACTATTTGGGGTGGGGGTTGTCATTTTCCATATCAAATATTCCAGACTCTGAAGGGAAGAAATGAATTGGGCAATGCAGTCTCTAACTTCCTTCTAGGAGGGTGCGATGTGGTGGAAGGAACTTTCCTGTCAAGTGGATATGGGGAGCATGCAGAGGGGGATGTGTGGGTGAAGTTCCTGAGGCCATTGTGAACGATGTTAATTCTCTATGCTGCTTCAGGAGATCTGACAGCCATGGGAGGAGGGATGTTGTGACTGAGCTGACCACTTTATTAAGAATACTGTAAACTAAAAATAGGGGAAAAGAAAAAAATAATGGGGAGATTAAATGATCCGTTAGGTTAGGGGAAATAATTGTAGCGTAGATGATGAAGATTAATTAGCCTACTAGTGTTAGTATAATTTTAGCGTGAAAGAGTCTAAATTGTTAGTGCTGTGAAAATAATTTTGGCATGTAATATAGCTAAGTGCTTTAGTATTCTTAATTAAGGCCTAATCAGATTTGGGGTGTTCTTCCCAAGAGTTCATGGACTTTGTTCCTTTGGATGGCAAGCATGATTAATCTTGGAACTTGTTTTTCCTGGTGGTTTAGTCATTGCCATCCTGCTCAACAAATTATGCAAAATAAGAACAGGAATTCAATTAACAGTATAGTTAAGGCTAGTAATCCAGCTACATGTGTAGGGTTGAGGGAGGAGATTCCTTCAGCTGAACTGTCCCAAATTCATTATTAAAAGTAGGTGTTTGGGCATTAACCATGGCCAGGACCTGAGATTATAATTTTTTTTTAAATATTTATTTTTAGTTGTTGATGGACCCTTATTTTATTCATTTATTTATATGCAGTGCTGAGAATTGAACCCAGTGCCTCACAACACGCTAGGCAAGTACTCTACCACTGAGTCACAACCCCAAGATTGTAATTTTGACAAAGCCAAAGAATCTATTACAAAAAGGATCAAGTCCCATTGGATGATTGTTTACACTGTGCCATTGAACTTCAGTGTCATTGTATTGAACTGTAGTAAGACAAAAAGGAGTAATATAATGGCATTGAAGTCTCTGAGACCACAGTACATCTTGTACTTGCTCTTGCCATATAACAATCTTTTAGTTGCTGCACCTCACTTAGAATTTCCTGATCAGTATGTACTTGAGTTTGCCAGGTTTTAGTATAATTCTTACGGAATTGCTGAAGATGATGTGTTGTTTGGACCTGTTGGTGTAAGACCACTGCTGCCACGGAGGCAGAGGCAATGAGGCCAGCAAAACCAACAATACCAATTATTAACTGTCACGACCCCTCGCTGGCAAAGGAAACACGACACAGGATTCTTCTTTCAGCAGTTTACTTAGGACCTTTGAATCATGAGAAAACAGGAACAAGCAAGGAAAGAGAGCAAGCGGTCGGTCTGCCCTAGCTTAAGTACCCAGCCTCGCCAATGAACTAGCACCAGGTGGAGAAGTCTAATAGGTACAGCGCAGC